CTATTGTGAAACCCCAACCAAAATTTGTTCTCTTCATTATGTTAGAGTCATAGCGCAAAATATTTACTAATATATGACTTCTTATAAGAAAAAGGCTTAATAGCCTTTTTTGTCCCCATATTTGCTTATTTTTCTCAATTAGGTCCCTCATTTTAAAAGTGTGTCAAATTGGTCTTCACTTATTAAATTTTGCGTCAATGTCGTCCCTTCCGTTAAATATGCACAAACGACGTTAACTTTTTCTTTCTCTCTCCTCTGCTCTTTTGTGCAGTGTAGCCTTTGGTCAATGTTTCTATCAGTAATTACGTGAGCCCCTCACCTAAAAGTGAGCCTTCAAAGATGGTTTAAATCACAATGGGACCCACCCAGAAAATTTCTCTTAAAAAAACCATGTGCATCGCTATGTTTAATTGATTATTGATTATACCACTAAATATTTAATAAAACCTCTAAAGGAAAAAGTAAGACTTTGCACACTTTTATTAAACCCCATTATTCCTTACACTGTGGGTCCCATACTCAATCAAAGTTTCAATGCAAATTTTCACTCCTCGCTCACCTGTATATGTTGCATTCAGGAAGTTCTTCACCATGAATAATCTTTATTTCTTTCTCTTCCAAAATCTTGCAGCCACCCGCATCTTTGCCTTCCAAGCCTAACTGAGAAGATGGGTTGTCTCCTGCATGCAAACTCAAAACTAATGGATGTTCAATGAAACCCAATACCCGTCTATGACCATTCTCCTCTACACTCTCTTTTAAATTCACGTTCCGCCCTACCTTCTTTATTCTCTATTCTTTCTTTTTATTTAAACCACACCTATTTCACTTTCTCCTTTCTTATAAAATTAGCCAATCCCAACCTTATTTATTTTACAAAACCTAACTCACTCCACTACACATGTGAAGAAGCTCTTGCAATGATCCCCTCCATTTCGCTCCTCGTATAAAATCATGGTGCCCAAAGCAGCAACATTGGTTTCCAATTTCACGTACAGGTTTTTCTTCCATATCTAACCATTTTTCTACGCAAACCTATGCTCTCCAAATTCACGAAACCCATATGGTTCCAGCAACCCTCCATCCTTTCATCTAATATCTATTATTCCAGACCTTCTTTTTTTCCCCCTCATTCTTCTTTTTTTACTTCTCCTTCTCCAGACGGTAAGAACATCGATCATGCTCCACGTAACATTGCGTAGCAAATGCACATCTAAGGTGGAGTTCTTATAATTTCCATTCAATTCGTCATTGGAAACAATAAATCCTTTGGTGAGATTATTGAAACCAGTAACCCTACACACCCCACCAGTGGACATTGGAACCAAGAAGCATGTCAAATTGAGAAACCCTAAAGGAGCAATCGTCTATGATTTTGAGAGATCCTCAAAGCTGGTGCTATCCTGAGTGCAATTCGGAGCAGGATCCGCATACCAGAACAACAACAATAAGTGGAAAAGGAAGGGAAGAAAGAGAGATCTATCAAGCATGAGGGGTGCAATTGTTGCACTATCACGTAAAATGATGAAACAGTGCAAGAGAGGGTGGTGATTATGTTGCGTATGCGTCGTGAAAGGGTTAAAGTAGATGAAACGTTTGTGTTATTGCTCCAGTGAAGAAATGAAGAATGTTTTTCACGTTTTAAGGAGTGAAAATAGAGTTGTATTGTATGCATCACTATCAGCCCATTTTAATTCTAGTATTTTAATTCTTATTATTTATTCTTTTTTATACATGTTTCATCTTCACGGAACAATAATTTCAATTAAGTTAAAATTCAGAATTTTCAAAATAAGTATCTTTTAAAAATCACTTATCTAAAATTAAATACCATTCTTTCAAAATAAAGTATAATTTAAAAAGAGAAAGACACACGATAAAGACAAAAGGTTGCACTACACATAATAGCAGAGGAGAGAGAAAGAAAAAATTAACGTCGTTTGTGCATATTTAACAGAAGGGACGATGTTGATGCAAAATTTAATAAATGAAGATCAATTTGACACACTTTTAAAAGGAGGGACCTAATTAAAAAAAATTAAGCAAATTTGGAAAAAAAAAAGGCTATTAAGCCTAAGAAAAACTAATATATAACTTATTACAAAATCTCAATTAAATACATAAACAAAATATAAATCTTTCAGTATCTTTTTGTCATTTTAAGTTCCTGAACTTGTTTTGTCATCATCAAAATTTATTCTTAAAGAATGATCTCTATCATCTTTTTCTTTTACCACTACAATAATCTTTCCACACTAAATTGATTACTCAAATATTGTAAAAATAGTGTGAAGAAGAACGTAGCTTTGGTGAGCTTAAGCAACTTAGCAGTAGAGAATGAACATCGATGATGAAGTTGGATAGATTACTGCGCCTTCTGTATTGTATTCATCATGGATGAGATGATGAATAAAACGTGTGTGCTTTATTGTGCCCATAATTGTTCGTTTACTCTCCACAAACATTGAAACTCACGTGTTAAACTCATTTCTATTTTATTTTTCTCTCTTCTTTCTCTTTTTATCATTTTTAACGAAAATGAACTTTCTAATTTTTGAATCTTTTCTTTAATTTTTATTCAATTAATTTTAAACTTTTTTTATTTAAGAAAATTTTATTCTACTTCCTTATTTTTTACATTTTTTTAAAAATTATTTTTTTCTAAAATTATAATACTTCATTAATATTTTAATAAAAAAGTTAGTTAATAATTTTCATTTTAAGAAAAATTGATTTCTACCTCTTTCTATTACAACTTTTTTAAAGTTAATTAAACACGTACTTTTTATTTTTGGAAAATAAATTCCATTCATCTAAACGAAATTGAATGTTAAGACTCGTGAGTGTATGTATATTATTTTAGATTCTTAAGTGTCGGAACCTTTGATAGTGCACAGATGGAAATGTTTGCTTTGATAGTGTACAGCCGGAACCTGTGGTTAAGTTGTGAGAATGAATAATCGCCTTTTGAACATGAATACGCATTGTATTGGTGCATGATCATGATTCATGCATGAGCATTTCTCCCTGCAGTTCCAACCATTTTTATCTGCATCTCTAATTTTTTTTTAAATTCAAAAACTATCTTCTATAAAAAAATTTAACTTAAAATATGTTAAAGTTTTTCAGTCTGCAATTCAAAAATTATTATATCTCATCTTTTATGATTTAAAGGATTTTAAAATTTGTTGAATTTTTTTTAAAACTTTTAATGTATTTTAAAATTTGTCAAAAAAAATTAATTAATTTCAAAATTTGTTAAAGAGAAACGTAACCTCTGAAAGGGTGGAAATTAAATGAGATCCAAAAATAAGAAGCACTTTGATTTTGCCATGTTGAAAAAGAAACTACCAATAAGGTTGAAGAATGAAAATTCTACAATCACACCACCTTATCTAAAAGTGAGAACAAATATACAACTGAAAATTAAGATAATTATTATGCCACGACCATTGACTACAAACTATAAATCAAAGTATCTTTTCTGACGGCGCTTAGAATACGAATATAAATCAACTATAGACTTTACTCTATCTTAAATATAAAATTAATTTAATAGTTCTTTCAATTAATCATCAAAGAGTCATAGAATCAACCTTAGGAGGTATGCAACTTTATTACATATTTATTGTTTTTTTTTCGTGAATTAATATTTTTATATAAAAGTGTTTAATATAATTAAACTTTTCTAGAAAATAATTATATTAAATATGATTTTTTTAGGAAAAACAAATTATAATTAAGAAAACAAAAATAGATAGTTAATATATATATTTATTGTAAGGGATGGAATGGTTGTTTAATTAACGATAAAAGAATTATAAAATCATAATTATTAAGAGGTATACAACTTTGTTATAAATTTATTATCTTTTTATTATTATCAGTTTTTTTTCATAGATTAATATTCTTATTGTTTAATATAATTTAGACTTTTGTTATAAATTTATTATCTTTTTATTATTAGTTTCTTTTCATAGATTAATATTCTTATTGTTTAATATAATTTAGACTTTTGTTATAAATTTATTATCTTTCTATTATTATTAGTTTTTTTTCATAGATTAATATTCTTATTGTTTAATATAATTTAGACTTTTCTAAAAGATAATTATATGAAACATTTTAAAAAAAACTTATAATCAAGAAAACAAAAATAGACACACACACATATATATATATATATATATATATACACTTAATATTTTTAATCATCTCATGTTGTGTTAAAGAGATTACAGTAGGAGAAGAAACAATTAATATTGTTGGTGTTAACAATGAAAGAGATATAAGATCGACATTTTTGGGATAATTGAGATGCATGCAACTTTGTTATATGTATTGTGAAATTTAGTTTAATTATTAGCTTTATTTCAACCATGATATATGTAGAGTGAACTTTACCTTAATTATTAGCTTTATTATAGTTATTATTTTTTTTTATATTAGCTTAATTTTTTCTTGATAATAGATTTTCTTTATGTCTTCATCTCTTGTTGTATTGAATATATTTAAGTGGTGAAAGATAGTATAAAAATAGTTGATGGAGCACTTAACTCTAAAATCATCACCATCTTATTAGGAGGTAAGTATTCTACTTAATAATAATTTCATTATGTTATTTTATTAGAGTTTGTACTTAAAAGATGTATTTATATTTTTTTCCTTTATTTAAATATATAAGTATTCTTAAATGAAATAACATTCACCAAAATAATGAATCAGAAAATGAAATAGAGTCGGATAATGTTGTCATGACTACTCTACAAAGAAATTTAGATGAGTTTATATCCAATTTAACAAGTAAAGAAGATTACCTTAAGCAACAATTACAATATCTAAAGTCACAAGGCAAGAAGCACAAACGAGTTGTTGATGAATAGTTTGACAAACTATAAAATATGAAAGAAAGAGCTATGGATATAAAAAACTCACTAAATCAATCTAGTTGGCCTAACTTCAATATGCAAGAAAGAGAAATAAGACATTTGATTACAAGAATGCAAAATCATAAGAAATGCAAGCCTCTTGTGTTGTCAAGTGAATTTGTTGGTAAGAAATTCGAAGTAAATGTTAAGAAGACGTGGAAGTTTTTGCAAGATGATCGAGTTTTCACTATTGGCATATATGGAATGGGAGGAGTCAGAAAAACATTCATAACAACTTATATATACAATGGGATAAAAACAAGCAAAATTTTCGAGGATGTCTTATTGGTAACTGTTTCTCATAATTTCAACGTCTCCAAATTGCAAGAGAACATTGTAGAAGAAATAAAGGTAAACCTTTGCGGATATATTAACAAGAAAAGTAGAGCAATAATTTTGGTATCAAAGTTGCGGAAAAGAAAAAACACAATACTTATTTTCGATGATACTTGGAAATATATCGATCTAAAAATTGTGGGAATTCCTCTTCAAGTAAAGAGTATTAAAGTGGTCATGACAACTCGCTTGAGACATGTGTGTCAAGAGATGCAATGCCTATCAGATAATATGATAGAAGTGGGGACTTTCTATGATGATGAATATGAAGAAACTTTGGAGTTGTTTTTGCAACAACTTCAACACTTTGGGATACCTTCCAAACTTCATCCTCAAGTGTAAGATATTGCAAGATGTGTGGTAAGTAAATGTGATGATTTATCACTTGCAATAAGTGTGATGGCTCGAATCATGAGAGGGAAAACTAACATCCATAAAGGGAGATATGCCCTGAATCAATTTGACAAATGGGAAATGAGACAGGAAATGGAAGAAGAAATGTTAACTGTACTGAGACGTAGCTATGATAATTTAACTAAAAGTGAGGTGAAAAATTGTTTTTTATACAATGCATTGCTACCTAAGTTGTTTTGTTAGGGAAGATTTGATTATGATGCTTGTTGACATGAGACTCTTAAATGGAATGAGGAGTTTGAAAGAAATATTTGAAGAGAAAAATAACATAGTGGATAAACTCATAAACCATTCATTATCGTTGGAACATGATTCAATGTTAAGAATGCAAGGTCTGGTGAAGAAAATGGCCTAGAATATCTTGAAGGAGAGTGATGCTAACACAATGCTAAAATGCAATGAATATATGAATAGCATATCTGAAATACTGGAATGGTCAATTGATTCGGAAATCGTTTCTCTTGCTAACAATACTATAGAAGAACTTTCAGATGGCACATCTCTTAATTGTCCACGCTTGTCCACCATGCTTTTATTTGATAATTCAATTGGACATATTTATGAGGGTTTTTTCTCATACATGAATGCTCTAACAACACTTGGTTTATCAAGAAAGCATAACTTAACACGCTTGCCTCGATCTTTATCAAACGTGAGGTCTCTCCACTTTGGGGTTGTGAATCTCGTCTTTCCACTTTTATGTGTCTTCCCCTTTACATCTGCTATTTCTATACCTCCTAAACAATGTCAGAGATTCAAATATTGAATCTTGGTCAAACTAGAGAGAAAACTTCCTAGTACCAATTCCAAATTGACATTATTGGACAAATCTAGCCATTTCAAGTTTATTAAAATTTTCAAATCTCGTCCAGTGGAAGTATATCACTTAATTTTGAACATTAGTGGAGCACCAAAGAAGTGGAGACCTCACGTAAAGAACGAGACAAACGTGTTACGTTCTGCCTTCTTGATAATCCAACTATTGTTAAAGCATTCATGTATGTGAAAAAACACTCTGGAATATATCCAATTGAATTGTCAAATAAAAGCAAGATGGACAAGTATGGACAATTAAGAGATGTGTCCCCTAAAATTTCTTCTATACTATTGTTAGCAAGAGAATGTTTCAAACCATTCTCCTATGTTAGATATGTTTTTCATATTCATTACATTTAAGCATGGTATTAGCGTCATTTTCCTTCAACATAGTTCATCCCATTTTTTTCATCATACTTTGCATTCTTAGAATTGAATCATTCTCTAACAATAATGAATGATTTATGACTTCATCCACTATCTCATTTCCCTCGTCAAATATTTCCTCCAAACTCTTCTTTCCATTTAAGAGTCTCATATTAACAAAAATCATAATCAAATCTTTCGAACAAAAAATTTAGGTAGCAATGCACTGTACAAGAAACATTTTTCCACCTCCTTTCTAGCTAAATTATCATAGCTATGTCTTAGTACAGTTAACACTTCTTCTTGCATTGCCACTCTCATTTCCCATTTGTCAAATTTATTGAGAGCATATCCACACTCATGGATGCTAGTTTCACCTCATGGTTCGAGCCATCACATTTATTGCAAGTGGTAAACCATTACATTTACTTACAACACATCTTGCAATATCTCGCACTTGAAGAGGAAGTTTTGAAGGTGTTCCAAGGTGTCCAAGTCGTAGCAAAAACAACTCTTAAAAGCTTCTTCATATTCATCATCATCATCATAGAAAGCCTTCACTTCTATCATATTACCTGATAGATACTACATCCCTTGACACACATGTCTCAACCGACTTGTCATCACCACTTAAATACCCTTTAATACAAAAGGAATTCTCACATTTTCTAGATTGATATATTTTCAAATATCATCCACAATAAGTATTATGATTTTTCTTTTCTCCAACTCTGATGTCAAAATTATTGTTCTACTATTCTCATCATCATATCCACAAAGGTTTACCTTTTATTTTTTTTAAAATATTCTATTACAGTTTGAAAATATTGAATTCATAAGAGACCATTACCCATAAGACATCCTAAAAAATTTTGCTTCTTTTTATCTGCCTTTGGATATAAGTTGCTAAAAACGTTTTTCCGACTCCCCCATTCCATATACCCCAATAATAAAAACCCGATCATCTCGCAAAAGCTTCCACATCTTCTTGACATTAACTTCAAATTCCCTATCAACAAATTCATTTGACATAAGAGACTTGCATTTCTTATGATTTTACATTTCTTTAATCAGATGTCTTATTTATCCTTCTTATACATTAAAGTTACACTGACCAGACTGATTCAGTGAGATTTTTATATCCATAGCTCTCTGTTTCATATTCTGTAGTTTGTCAAACCACTCATAGATAACTCGCTTGCATTCTTGCCTTAAAACTTTAGATATTGTAATTGTTGCTTAAGGTCATCTTCTTCCCTAGTTAAATTAGATATAAACTCATCTAAATTTCTTTGCAGAGTAGTCATGACAGCATTACTAGACTCTGCTTCATTATATGATTCATTGTTTTAGTCAATGTTATTTCATTTAAAAGTGTTTATATATTTAAATAAAGAAAAAAATGCAAATACATCTTTTGATACAAACTCTAATAAAATAACAAAATGAAATGATAAATAAGAATAAATAGTAGCTTCTAATAAAGTGGTGTTGATTTCAGAGTTAATTGCACCATTAACCATTTTTATACTACCTTCCACAACTTCAATACTTTCAATACAACAAGAGAGGTAGACAAGAAAATCTATTTGTATCTTAAGCTTAATATCAAGAAAAAAATAACTATAATAAAGTTAATAATTAAGATAAACTTCAGAATACATATATCTATTCAAATAGAAATAATTAAGCTAAATTTCACAAGACATATATCACAAGACATATAACAAAGTTGTATACCTTCCAATAATCCCAATAATATTGATCTTATATATTTTTCATCGTTAATTGAACCACCAATAATATTAATATAGTTGTTTCTCCTCCTATTGCAATTTTTTATCAAAATATATATATATATATATATATATATATATATATATATA